GTCCTGAAAATGAGATTTGGATTTAAGCTTTGCTGCCTTTCTTCTGATCTTGGAACTGATTACTTATTCCCTTTAGGAGTCAGCAGAGGCTGAAGACCCAATGAAGCCAGAAGAGGTACGTTTGGAAGCAAAGCAACAGACAGAGCTGATGGGGTTGACATTTCCAGTCAATTGCATGTCAGGAGATTCCACTCCAGTCTGCTCTGAAGCTCTTCCCAGCCTGGAGAATTTAAGCTGGACCACTTTGGAGAGGGTGATGGCCCACGTCAGTCGCCCTCCATGCATCAAGTAGCCTTCTGGCTGGGCAGCTTCAGAGTGCACTGCTGGATTCACTCTACAACTTGTTAGCTGGTGAACAGCTGGGAGAGCTGACCAGTAGTGAAGGACCTTTAGGCCTCACTGGCCTCACTGAACTGCTTGCCAGCAGTTGGGAATGCAAAAGAATTGCCTGCAGTATGGCCACCTAGCCTCAGAGGCCTCTTGGAGCACATCCATGTCTCTTTGAGTTTGTTGCTTCCAGCCAATGCAAAAAATGGTTTCACTATAGGAGATCCCTCAGCATGCTGAAGATCTCCTAAGCTAGGCAGTTTTGATGAATGCTGCAGATAGTCCCAAAGCCACATGACTTTGAAACACTTAGGCCAGCATTGGGTGAGAAGCTAAGTAGAGCCTCCTTCACTTTGCTGGAGTGAATCAGAACATCTCTGCAGCCCCAAATGCTTTGTTGAAGTGAATTTGTGTTGTTTTGTCCAGGCCTGGTAAGTAGCACACCCCTTCTCCAAGCAGTGAACCAGCAACATCAATGAACTTTCTGCAGAAGCCACCATGATTAAAGTGGTAATGGAAAACTAGGATTCTGTGAATAAAAGATTTAGAGGAATGGGTGGAGCACAAATCCTTTGCTCTTGAGTAAGGAAGCCTGTATGTCTGTATAATGAGTGAAAATCTGTACAATATCCATGTAGATCCCCTCCTGGTTTCAGTAGGGGATGAGTTTTAGAAATTAAAATCAAAGTATTTGTTGAAAAAGTGATCTCTGAGAAGGAATGTAAATGGAAAGAAAATGGAAAAGTGTACTAAGAACAGTTGGAAAAAAAAGAATAAAAATAGGGGGCTTGCTTTAGGAAAGAGGTTGATTTCAGATCCCTATTAGAAATGGCTTTCTACAAGCAGTAGCTCTGCTTTGGATGCCAGTCAGCCAAGGACATTAGAAGAGCAATTGGACAAATTGGGAAGTATGCCCAGAATGGCCCAAGACAAGTAAATCATGCTGGCCTATTGGCTAAAGTAGTAGCCTGGGAAAGTGGTTGGTGCAAAGTATTTCTCTGAACTTGTGAACTCCTTTTTTCCTGTGTCAGATAGAAGTTTGGGAGCAGGAGGAGCTCGAGAGAGAGGTGTGTTTCAGCAGCTGCCGCATAGATCCTTCTCCCTTTCAGCTGGTGGAGAGGACATCACTGCACAAGGTGGGTCCCTGCATTCACTCTTTTCTTATTCTCTACTTTCCTTGCAAGCCAATCCTACTCCCATCAAGGCCTGTGCCTTCTTCTGGCTTCATGTTCTTTCTATATTTCTTGGTCTTGAATGCACTGTGTGATCCTACCCAAGCTTTAACCTACCAGGTGGAGCAAGGCTCACCATACATAGTATGGCTTTGACTACTCTTCCCTTATTTCAGTTTCAGGCAAGTAACAGGGACAGAAGTGGGCTGCATCTACAAAATGTGCAGGCCTGTTCTACTTTTTTCAGTTCCTTCTTGCCTCCCTGCCCCCACTTAGTGCCAAATTGTCTTGCTATCACAGACACTCATTTTCTTTTCATCCATCTCTTTTCCTTTGCATTTTGCCACCCTGCCATGCAACTTTTCAACATCACGTGCAATTAAGTTTATTATTTGTTATTAATCCTGCCAGTTCTGTGTCTTGGTACAGCCAACCTTAACTTACGCTATTAGCAGAAAATTTCATCTAAGAAACAGTGGCACTTCTTTAGACAGTCTCATCTCATGAAATGATCTCTTTGTAGAGGAAACAGAGGGAACAAATCGGTCTTAAATCTTTGTAGGAGGAATCTTCCTATTAAAATTGTGTAGAAATTGTTGGGTAGGTTGTTCTTAGTACTCTATCCTCAGTGTTGTTCTCACACATAACTCAAAATGATGTAAGTTAATACAGTGCTTTTTATGAATACGATCCATCTGTAAATGTAGGGTTGAAGAAAATCTCTATAGAACTGTTATGTTATCTGTTTAATCAATTCCAAATATTTCAGTCTATGTATAAGGTGCCCTTGTTTAATTAAGTAGCAAGTTTTTGTTTAGTATAAGCACACATGTGAGTTGGTCTCACCTAAGATGATGCCTGCAAGGACATATGCAAGCCAGGATCCAAAACCAAAAGGCTTTTCTTTTTACAATGTTTTGTTCAGGTTTACAGTGCAACCCAGCTTTACTACAATGTAAGTTTTGCCAAACAGCTTACTCCTTACCTATGACCCTTCTGTACTCCTCTGAGTTCAGAAAAGCTTAATTCTATTTATGTCCCATCTAGATGAACTCACCCTGCTTTTGCTACCTGAAAATACACTTAGCATGCCAGCACAGGGTAGAAAGATGGTTTAGTCTAGTGGGTCATAGGGTATGCAGAACTGGAAAAAAAATTAAAAACATAACCTTTTATTCATTTTGTGTATTGCATTGCTATGTTACTTAATATTAGTTGACTTGCTGCAATTTATTGTTAATACCAACAAAGCATTACATTGTGTTAATGGGTAGGTAGACCCCTACTTCTAATTATTCCAATTTCAGGTATGAAGATTTCATTCTTTGGCTTTGCTCTAGGTTTCCTCATGGTAATATGGGTAAAAAAAATCCACCACCTTAATGTGTTTCAAATTCTCCATACATTTGCAATGGTTAATCTGTTTTCTTTATTTGCTAATAGAAACTGTCTTATCTTCTCCCTTCTGTAGACGCATACTTTGTTTTCGTTGCTGGGACTCAGCCATGCCTATGTAACCAGCATGGGGAAACTAAAGGGTGTGATTGCACTGGAAGAGGTAATTTAAATCATGCCACCATTGTATTTTGTCCAGTTGGGTCTTGCTTGAGTAAAGAGAAGGTCTCATGGAAAACCCAGAATGAAAAAAAGAGATGGTAAAGGGAGGGCTACTTATTATACACCACTTGCATCTCACTTGCCATTCCTTCTGGAATCCCGGCGGTGCCTCTTCAGTCCACATTTCGAAAAGTCGTTTAAGACCTTTTCTCTTCAATTTAGCTTTGTGAATGGTAATCAATTATGCTTCTGTTACTAATATTATTTTACATTTCATGTATTCTTTTAATTATACTTTTCATTTACTTATTGATTGGTTTTATTCCCTTTTTTGTCGTAAGCACGTGTTTCAACAGAGACAGGATATAAACCTTTTCCAGCCTTACAGAGTTTTTGAAGGGTACTCACTTGAAGGCCAAGTGCACTTTTGCTAAAACTTGCAAGATCTGAGATGAATGACAAGAATAATCCATCTTTAAACCCTTTTAACTCTCTGTAGAAAAATTATCTTTAGTCTATTTTGACTTTATTGGTTAGGAAGCCAATTGTGGCCTCTTCCAGAAGAGGAGAAATTAGGGTATGGTTGTGGGCTTGAGTTGGTTTTATACATGTTAACTCCCATGACTTTGTCTTTCTCCTAAGGATCTTGGAAACTTTGGGTTTGTGATTTTTTTTTTTTGCTATCTCCTACATAGGAAGATTGTTCCCCAGGGAGGAGAGAATGGCTATTAAGCCACTTCTTTCATGTAGATGTGCTTCTCAGTATTTTCATAGAATAGTTATTTTCAGCGCCTCTCCAAATTTCCAGCCAGGACTACTTAAAGACATCTAGTTGGGGGGGGGGGGAGGGAACCTACTGTACTATAAAGATAATCATAATCAGGCATTTTTTCTCCTTGAGAATTTAGGCACTTCTGACTGATGTGGATCTCATTTACTTATTTTCTCCCTTTACAAAGGACAAAAATGGCACAGAATAGTAAATATTATATTGGGATTATTTAAGTCCTGTCTGAGTATATGGCAGGACTGGGCACCTGTGGGCTGCACACCCTCCACCCCCAGCAGCCCATTTGAGGCCTCCAATGCCCCATATATTGAACATGGCTGAAAATTTTGGATCTTTTTGCATTTTTGATATTTAAGAGGCAAAATGGGTGCCTTAAGCTTTGCAGAGTTAAAGCAGCTAGTGTGACCCTTAAGATCTCCCCTCCCCAAAATCTGACCACATTTTCCTATGGAAAGTATTAACTCTAACAATTTTTTCCCAAATTATGCTTTGTGTACACTGATGAGACTCATATGGCTGTAGCAGTCTAGAAAATGAATGTTTTAAATGCAGAAAAGAAAAGGGGATTAAAAGGTTTTTGGCCTTGCCTACTTTGGTGATGTCATGATGTGACTAGGCACACCAAGCAGAGACCAAAAAATGTGGTCCTTAGGCTGAAAATGGTTGCCCCTTCTGGTCTACAGAAACTATTTTGATGGAAGAGGAGTACTCTTGTGCAACTTCCTGGTTAATTCTGTGTGTCTCAAACTCTCAGCTCCAGAAAGCCATTGAGGGTTCTACAAGTACTGGGGTCCAACTTCGTCCTCCTCTTGCAAGTTTCCGTGATGCCACTCAGACTTCAGGCAACAAAGAGCAGACCAATTGGGCTACACAGATGTGGAGCAAAGAGAACAGTCATACAGTCCCTGGGGAATCTGCAGTGGACTCAGGACCAGAGAACTCAGTGGACCCTGGTTCTCCTTTCTCACAACAATCTTCCCTCCCCAGTCAAAGGAAAGGGATGCTCTCTGTCTCAGCTGCTGATATGAAACCGGAGGACACAGAAGTTTCTGGCCCAGCTGCTGAGAACATCTCAGACATACTCAAGGACCTTAAGGTGCGCTCCAGAAACCTGGAAGAGGATGATAAGGATGATAAGGATGTGCCACTATAATTGTACCTTGGAAGAAGTTTACCTTGTCCTTCAGCACAATCCTCCCACCATACTTGCATTTCCAGGAAAGGCTTGTGAGCTGCTTCTCTGGTCTTAGTGAAAGATAATTCATGCTAGAGAACTTTGGCTGTGTGGACTGGCTTTCCTTCTGCCATTTTCAGTGGGATGCAAGAAAGAAAGAAATGAAAAGCAAATGGGTGGAAGGATCCTGGTTTATATCCTCCAGTTTTGCATCCTTTGATTATGACCTCTGTGTGAGGCATGCAGTAGGGCCCCATTGTCTACAGGGAGATATTCATTGACAAAATTTGCAGTTTACTTCAGATAAACCTACCACTTATATCATCTGTCAGCATGCCATGGTGTTAGCCCTGTGGTGTAGTCCAGACAAGAAGCACAACCAGGAGTACCAGCTCTATCTTTATTGTAAGGTTGCATTAACAGAATCTTGCAAGACTGAAAGTATTTCTCCCCTCCTTTCCTTTTACTTGCCAGGAATCTAGGGAGGGTCCCTTCTGAAATGTTTCCCATGCCCTTCTTCCTTCTGTGGGCTGAATTCTCTCTTACATGCCAGTTGTCCAGTCTGTGGCTCTTCCTCCCAAGGTCATTCCCACATACCATTACGTGTGGCCATCCTAATCCCTTTGATGTGTTCTAATCTGAAGAAGGATCAGAGGATTCAGCCCAGGCTCAGTCCAAATGTAGAG